CGCGGCCCCCAGCCCCCTCCCCGGACCCCTCCTTCCAGTCTCTGAGCGTGTCACGACAAAGGGGAGACAAATTACAGAAGCAAAACTTTAAATCAACTTCTGCTCGCCTCTATTTATATGGCATTTCAGATCGTACTGGTTTTCTTTAATTGCTCTTTCTTCTTCCACAAACATGTAATCATCTTGCTTTTCATGGGCTTTAAGTATTGGTTTAACTTCCACTGCCTCTCCGTGCATTCTGTTGGTGGAGGAATTTAATAAAATCGGAAAACTTGCTTCTAATTAGGCAGCCCAGACCGGCCCCCTCTCTCCACCCCCACCTCCCCTCCCGGCCAATACTTGGGGTTTTCTCCCTGCGAGCGCTGGCGGGCCGCAGGCGGGCTTCCTGGGCTCCTGGTTGAAAGAGCCGGCCAGGGAAGAGGTTAAATTTTCTGGTTTTCTTTCATCTGTATTCTTTGAAGACAAGGAAAGGGCTCTTTTCCATTCTTGAATTCTCTTAATTAGCAAGGTTTCGGGAACACCTTAGGATCCCAAACGAATGAGAACAGTTCCAGATTCTGTCCCTTCTTCCCACGATTTGGGCAAAACTGACTAGGGCATTTCTTTGTCCTGTACTTAAAAAAATCCTGTTTATCTTGGGTGGAAGGCATTGCACGCTTTGGCATGTCAATTTCTACCAAAAGGCGCTGCCCCGTGACACCCCATCATGAATGGGGGGGGGGGGTTTGCAGACACTAAATCGTTTACAAGTCAAATTTTTATAATAGATGTATTATTTATGAAAACTCTTTTCAGAGATGTATTTTTAAAACCCAGAGCTTGTTTACACTGAAGAATAAAATGCCTGAGCTGAAAATGTCATTTTGTGTGGATCAAAATGCTAGGAAATACCAGGGAGGCTGGAGCTCTACCCAGGTCAGGGAAACTGATATGGTGTTCTTATTTTAAAAGATGATTATTTATGATGTTCTTTCTGCTCTGCGACTCCTTTTAAGTTTATCACCCGCCTCTGTTCTGCTTGCTTTTTCCATCCCTCTGGCATTATTCTTCAGCTGCCTTCCCCACCTGCATATTTGCTGTTTCACATAATCTCACTGTCACTTTTTTCCCATTTATTTTTTCCGACTCCATTTTGCCCCCCAGGAACATATTTAAAAAAAAAAAAAAGTAATTTTCTGATGTTTCCACTTTGCTTATTCTCAGAAGAGCTCAGCTAAAGTCACTCAGAAGGTTCTTTCCAAAAAAAGGAAGCAGAGGTTTCTTTGCATGAACTCCCCTTCTTTTTAGGCATTCAGATGCATTTTATAAGCCATTGTCTCCCCCCAACCCCCAGAAACCAGCGCTGTGTGGCAAATTGTGCAGAATGGAAATGCCTGTAATGAATGTATTTACTGCCGGGGTCACACGGACAGACATGCTGCCCCCATGAATAATACTGTTTGACAAGTCTGTAACCCTTTCCAATTGCTGATCCCCAAACCCTATAGGCAAAGGAGGGAAACTTGCAAGAGGAACTGGGACTTTAGAAACCCATAGCCATCTGGCCTGGATCTCTAACAATCTGAGTCAATAATTATATCAATTCAGGCTTTAGTGAACCCCTTTGCAAACATCAAAAGAGCTAAGAAAGGAATTAGTGATTATTCAAAGTTGGGGTGAGAATTCAAGGGTAATGTAATTTCATGATTCTAGGAGAGTTTTCTTTGGGAATTTGATAAGTCAACCCCTAAAAAAAACCCAGAGCAATGAACTTGTTTACTTTAGTGGAGATGCTATTTTTCCCTACTGCTTAAAAAGTAAAAACAACAAAGATATTTCACATTTTCTAACAATGGAGATGAACGGAATCAATCACTGTTAAAAGAACTTCATTGTAATATTTAAATTAGGCTGTAAATTAATATATACTGATGAAGAATGCATTTCTATCAGTAAGTCTTTAATTAGCTTAGAATCTTTTCATGGAGAATGGCTTCTTTCATTCGTGATATCATTCTCACCAAGTAGCATTTCATTTTCAGCTTGCCAATCTCTTCCTGATAAATTATATATACCTACATGATGATATTGTGCTTGAGATTTCTCTTTAGAATATACAACTGTAGAATATGCAAACTTGTTTTCAAATATACAGGACAGAAAATAAATCTTTCCTTTGCTCTTTGGAGTAGTTCCAGCAATTCCAAATGTCCTCATTTGCTTGCCCTCAAAAGAAAATACTGGCAAAAAATATTTCCCTCATCATTTGCTATTTATGAAGGGATTTTATGAGGGGAGAAAAATTGATGAGCTTCTGTTGTCATCTAATGGTGATTTGATTGAACTCTGTCCTGGAAATTTACACGATGATGAAGACACGGTAGGCCCTCTAAAAAAACACCTCAGTCACCCACAGGGGAGTGGACATAATGTTCTTCCTTAAAATCCCTTCAATTACAAGATGGTGGCCATTGTTGACAAGGAAGGATTCGGCCTAGACTTACAGAACCCTGGCGCTGTGTGTCGTGGTGGGGACTTGAGGCAAGTGCCCCATTCTCCTGCTGGGGAACCTTGGCTTCTCCCACTCTGTTGCACAAATTTTATCCACGAAGCTTCTCTTACTATGTCTGCTGAAGTTGCTTGATAAGTGCTAAGCCTAGAGAAAGAGCTGGCATTTTCACTACATTCTGTCACCTCTAATAACATTTCCATTATGCCACTTATCTTGATTACTTTTGTTTTCAGGAAAGGAAAGGTTGTAATTCTAAATCTTCAGTTTCCCTTCCTCCTAAAGCAAAGGGACATATAAGACTCAATTAAGGCAGAAGCAGCTCTCCATTATATGAAGAAAACTGTCTTTCCTGGTACTGGAAAACAAGATTAGAGTCACTAAAATTTCTTTACAAGCAGATGTGGATTTCTTATTTTTATTTTTCTTTCTTTTTTCTTTTTGGTTATTCCCTTGTATTTTTTTTAGAAAATATGGATGCCAAAAACAGAAGAAAGTTTATTTCCATGTCCCCTCATCTTACCTTTCCCATCATCGACATTTTGTGATCTCAAAATCTCTGTGCAGGTTGTCATAGCACAGCAATATTCACACCAAGCACTTAATGTGATGGAGGAACTCTTTGGCAACTGACTTAAGTGCCTGTAACAAGCCTGATTAATTTCTCTGCTATGTATCTTGGAGTTTTACATAAAAGCAAAATATTTACCAGATGGAAGTTGGTGACGTTAAGGAGCTTCTCTGTATACACGTAACACTTTACATAAACCCAGACATGGATGGATGGAGGTACCGCAAACTGGTAGCTTTATAACCCTAGACAAAATTCTCTAACATCTCTACTTCTGCCTAATCCTCTGGGCATAGTAATAATTTACCAAAAGGATTGGAGCAATTAAAGAATCGGCATGATTCACAGAAGTTGGTCTAGAGGAAATCTACAAAAAACTTTCCTTGCCTTTTTGTAGGCTCTTCTATCTGCTTTCCCCCAACAGTCTTTGAAGAAGGAATGAACAAATCAAGTTCATTATCCACAATTCTGATTGTTTTTCAGGCTACTGTTTAGATGATTATGTATTTTTTAAAAATATTTATGCATACAGAACTGCGGTACAGGCCAGAGGTATGGGGGTGAGAGGAATCACCACAGAGACAGAGTATGGAGCAAAACAGGTAGATCGAGGAGGTACACTGCTGAGGGGAGCAGCGGGCAGGTCAGGAGAGGTCTGCCACACCATGTGGTCACCTCTGGGGCAAGCGGGGATCGAGCTCATGCTGAAGTGGCTTAAGCTTCTCAGTGCTGTGCTTTAACCCACTGTGCCATCAGGGAGGGCCCTGTTTATATATTTTTATACTCTAAAAATGAAATTCTTCCCATTCGTAATGTATGAAGGCACTTTTGAATCATAATTGGCAGTTCAAGTTTCCTTTCAGATGGGGTATTTGTGATCTTCAGGCAGATACCTAGCAGTGGAATGGTTGGGCTGTATGGTGAATCCATTTTTAATCTTTTGAAAAACCTCCATACTGTTGCATTGGGGCTGGGCCTGCTGCTGCATCTCCACTAACAGTGTAGAAGGCTTCCTTTTCTTCTACATCCTTGCCAACGCTTGTGGTCTTAGGTTTTTTTTTGTTTTTGTTTTTTTTTTTTT